TCAGCCTCCTTTGAGCTACAGGAAAAAAAAAAAAGCACCCTCCTTCCCTCTCCAGCTTCTCCATCATTGCAACCCAACCCAGCAGCCTGCACTTAGCAGGGAGGAGACTCAGCTGGATCCAGCCTTTTATAGCTTGGCCCTAGGAGTGGGTGTTGTCTGGGGGATGATGCCACCCCTTACTTCCTCCTATATAAATGAGAGTTTGGGATGGTCCCCAGCCCTATGGGCATGGCTGAGATGATTTGCTAGGCATACCACATGCACTTCAGACTATATATATTAAAAAAAGTCATACACTTCTGACTGGTCTTTCTGGGGCCTGTGGGCTGGGGGAGAGCAGGAGCTCTTTCCAGTGATAATGGAGCTTTCTTGGGGGCCCCTGGCCCTATGGAGATGGCTGCAGGGGGTCTCTGGGCCTGGTAACACCTAGCAAAGCGTAGGCCTGGCTGCATGTCAGGCAAGGATAGGCAGGGAGCAGTCAGGTGCCTGAGCACCTCTGTGCACCTTGCTAGCAGCAGCTGTGGTCACAGCTGGATTAGCTGGCACCAGGCTTAGGGGGGTGGAGGTCTTTCATGCACCCCAGGGTGGGTAGGGGCAGCTGCCTGCGGTGCTCCCCCTCACTTGTGTTTGGGGGGGGTCCTAGTAGCTGTTTTCTGCCTGAATTCTTTTGTTTGGGCCGGGGGGCTGGGCAGCCCCTGCTCAATGCTGTCCCAGTGGCGGGAGCTCTGTGGAGTTGATGGTGTGCCGAAGCTGGGCAAGACGAAGCTGAAAGCACAGCAGTTTGGGAGGCAGGAGGAAGGGGTGGCCTGCCTGACCCTGCCCAGCTGGCTGGATGGGGCCTGCAGGCTGAGCAAATGGGCTGGCAAATGTTTGATTTCCTTCTTGCTTCTGGGCAAGTTAATTATCCCCCCGCCCCCTGTATATCCTTATGGGAGCACTTTGCGCACACATGTACATGTACACGCTTGCTCTCTCTAGCCCAGCTTGCTGGAGCTCCCCGTCTCCGGGCTGAGATTGGGGGGGGACACCTTGCACTGCTGTGAGCCCCTTTGCTTCAGGCCAGGAGACTGGTTGCGGGCTGGGCATGCACAGAGGCTCCTGTCCCCGTTCACGTCTGGGCTGGGTGGAAGCAATGAGGGGTCGCGCCAGGAGCTGTGGTGTCCGATCCCTTGCTGTACATCTCTGGTTGGTGCACGGCTCCTCGTAGAAGGAGGGCCAAAGGGGAAACTGAGACACGATGTGGGTGCAGGACTTACGCCAGGATTAGCAGTGGATCCCGGGGCCTGGCTTCTGTCAGCTCTCGGGGTCTCTTCAACCTGATCTCTTGCCTCCAGCCGGAGAGTCCCTGGGACTTTTCCTGCATTGCCCCAAGGTCAAGGGGGAGAACCTCAGATGACAGCTGGCTTGTATGGGGCACCTGCAGCCTGTGAGCCCTCTGGGTGCAGGCTGCGGGGGCCATCAGTATTGCAAGCCCCTTCTCCTTTGCTGGGGGCTGTTCAGGGGAGGAGCCGTGCGGGTCTCGGTGCCTGGCCTTGTGGCACTGGCCCTCCCATCCCTCACCATTCGCGACCTCAGGGAGGGGAGCAGCCAGCCCCACTGGGAAACCCCAGGACAGGGACATGCCCAAGGGATGCAGAGAGATCAGGAGCAAAATGGGGGAGCTAGGCTGTCGATGGAGCTGCGAAAACGCATCCAGGGACGAGACACGGGGAGTCAGCAACACGCGAGGGGGGAGTGGGCAGTGAGTTAGGTGTGAGGTTGCTGGACATGGGGCTGGGATGTGGGCCTCAGACCACAGCAGTCAGGCTTCAGCCTCTGCCACCGACTCCCTGCGCGGCCTTGGCCATGTCACTCCACCTGGGCCAGACCGCCTTGGCTTCCCTTCATATGAAGGGAGAGGGACCCCAGCTCCACCCCTGCTATTGCCAGGTGTCCGGTCATGTCCTCCCGCTCATAAACGCATCCAGCTGTAGCAGCTGCGCGTTCCTGGCCCTTCCCGCTCCTCTGGGAAGGCTGCTCCAGAGCCTCGAACGGCAGGTAACCATGTCATTCCCAGCTTGGATGCGTCTGCTGGGCCTTCGTCCCCCCCTTGATCCAGTGCCGGCGCTGTCTGTCTCCCTCCACGGCCGCCCAGTTCCTAACTCGGCGTAAGTGACAGTCTCCCCGGCTTACCCGGCATCGGGACCTGGCTGCCGTCCCCATCCCTGCCTCCCCGGCAAAACAGCCGAACAATCAGCGTTTCAAGCTGCTTTAACATTTATTCGAGATGACCCCGAAAAGGCGGAAAACACCAGGCTTTTCTCCGCACAGGATGTCTCCCGCACAGCTTGGGGCCGGGGCTGCCAGAGCCGATCAGCCTCAGGGCGAATTAAAACCCACCTCACCTTGTCCGGCTCCGTCCGGCATGCGCGCTCCCGAGCCGTCAAGCTCCTGAGGCCTCTCCGCTCCCCCCCGCGCCGGCTTATTCAGTCCCGTCTCCTCCCTTTTCACTTTGTACATCGCACTGTTTTAATTGCAAACTGTTCCCCTTCAATAGCCGCTCAAACCAGCTCCAGCGCCCCTCTGGGGCACCCCCTGCATTCGCCGTGTCTGTAATTCTCTCTCGGCGTTTCGTGCCCGGCCCCTGCCCTCCTTTCCCTGCCTTGGTCTGGAGGGAGCCTCTAATAAGCATGAAATCTGGCTTGGCAGACATTTTTTAGCCCCCAGAACATGTATCCAGGGACAATCCGGCGGAGAGGCACAGCCCGGGGTCAGGCAACTTTTGACACTGGCTAAGCGTTGATCAAAGCTGCGGTTTGTGGCAGGAGTCGCCTCAGTCATGCAAGGGATGCTTCAAACTTTTAAGCTCCTTAACGGGAGCCGGGAACAGCTGGAGGTCAAGGGGCAGTCGGGGGGGGATGTTCGCTTTCCCGGACCTGCCTGGCTTTTGGTGGCCACCGACGCTAGCCCGCATGGGGGCTGAGTTGGGGGTCCCCTTCTCTGAGCCGCTCGTTGCTGGACTTGGCCAGGGGGGTGGTCGATGCAACCCTTCCCGGGGTCGCGGCTGTGATGTCCCTGCGGCTGAAAGGGGTCGAGGCAGAAGGTCGCACAGATGTAGCTGTGCGTACCAGGGCCGCGGGATTGCCTGCATCGCTCCCCTCGGGCCCTTTCTCCTGCCTAGGATGGGTGGCTCCAAACAAGGGGCAAGAGATCCCATCCCGGGATAACCAGCCCCTGCAGGACTTCTCTTCTGACCTCAGTGCTTGAACCCAGGCTTGGAGATGCCCAAAATAAGGGTGGGTGTTTGTCACCTTGCAGTGGGGGTTGTCTTAGCCCCATCCTGTGGCCGTGAGTCCCACTGGCTGATGACGGCGTGGACAATGCACACCAAATCTTCCCCTTTCCAGGGGTTACATCCTGGGCCCGGTCCTTTGCTGATGGGAAGGGGCTTGACCCAGGGAAAGGTGTTTCACACGCCTGCTGCTGCACGTGGGTTTCAGAGGAGGAGCAGGGCAGGGGTCCTTGCCGCCGTCTGCTTCGGGGTCATTGATCTGGAAAGTTAAAGACATCGGGAGGGGGATTTGATGCTGGGATCGGGGCCCCGGCAGCTCTGTCATCGGGTCGAGTCCCCAGTGGTAGCCGCTGTTTCGGATGCTGCAGGAATGACCCAAGTAAGATCAGGCGCCGTGCAACTAGAGGGGAAGAGTCGGCGCCTGCGGACAGAGAGCCCGGGAAGGGAAGGACCGGTGTCTGCCCTCTGCCTGGGCGGGGGTCTCGCGGGGAGGCTCTCAGCTGGTCTAGGGCTCAGGCCTGGTCCACAGGCCGCCTGCCGAGTGCCTTGAGTGATGTGAGTTTGGACAGGTCTCAGCATAATGCTCAGTGCTCGAGCCTGCCCCAGAGCGGTGCACTTGGCTCCGAGGCCCAGCTTGAACGCGCGTGTCGTTGGGGTCAGATGTCTGTGGCCTGCTGAGGCAGGCTGGGCCAGGTTGACGGCGGAAGCTGGGGGAAGTCTCGGGGCATATGGGGGCATCCAGGAGCAGCACGGCATGGTTGTGCAGGCCCACCTTGAAGAAATCAACCCGCTTAACAGGAGCTTGCGGGGTGAAGGCGGCACCTCCTTTGCACATTATAATCATATTTGCAAAGGACAGATACTGCCCCATCGATGATGGTGTTGATTTGCCTGCTTCCCTCTGGCTCACACCCTCCCCTGCATAGCGCGAGGCCTTGGGAGTGTTGGTTCCAGGCCCAGCTGGGCGCAGGGATGCCCAAGGGACTTAGGATCATAGAGAATCACAGAGAAGCAGGGCTGACAGGGAGCTCCAGATCTCGCATCTAGTCCTGAGGTAGGATCAGCCCTGTCCAAACCACCCGATACAAATCCATAACCTAAGCTCTTCATGAATCAACCCTGACACAGCACCGGACATCGCACCCGGACCTGCCGCAGGGAAAGCAGGGGGGTCCGGCAGCCAGCGTCCGGCTTCTGTAAAAGGTTATGGGATCCCAGGTAGAGGGCAGCCCCCCCCCAGTCTGGCCGTGGGGTAAAATTCCTTCCTGACCCCAAATACAGCATTGGTCCGACCCTAAGTGGAGGGGCAAGACCCCTTAGGGCAAGACCCCTGTGGCTTGAAGTCCCAGCAGGAGCATTGGCACAGCCCAGCACCATCCCCAGCCTGGGCTGCAGCCAGCACCCTCTGGAGGAGGCTGAACCCCCCACCCCTGACACGCAGCAGGAAGGGGAGGGCAGCCAGTTATGTCCCCTCTGGCCTCGTCTGGCATCGGGCCGATTTGCAGGGGCTTCGCCTTGAGCTGTGATAGTTTCCAAGCTCACAAGCCAAACCGTGGCCAGTTACAGCAATCCCGAAGGGAGGGAAGACCCTGGTGCTGGGGGTGGTGGTGGCTTTGCATTTAGCACAGCACCGCCCTTGCCGACGCACGGTGGTACGCACACCGGGGTTGTCCTGCTCCTTTGCTAACCCACTGCATTTCTCTCTCTCTCTCCCTTGTATCTCTTCCAGCTGCCACCCCCCCTAACCTGGTTGACAGGCCCTGCTTAAAGCTGAAGGTTTATGTTCGACCGACAAGTAAGTAGCCCACTTCCGAGCCGGCAACGGGCTCTGTGCGTGGGAGGGGAGGGCACGCTGATACGTGGCTTAGGCCCTCAGGCTCCCCGATCCAGAGCCAGACACAGTGCCCTCTGAGCATCCCCTTGCACCGCGGGGGCAGAGGGCCCGTCCACGCTGCTGCGAGCTTATCCACGATGCCCAGCACGATGTGGGGCCAGCGGGGATCTGCCAGTCCCGGGTCTTCGTCGCTGGTCCAGCACAGAGCCCAGGGGTGGGGGATTTTCAGGAGAGACGCTTTGACAAAACATGCTAGAGGCAGGTGGACATCGAACCATCTCCAGACCCAGCCACAGATCCCCGGTGTCATGCCCATGAGTCGCTTGCACGGGCAAAAGCCAGCTAGGATCCTTCCCGTGCTGGCTTTGAGGGTGCTCTGATGCTTCTCATGCCAGGTCTCATGCGCATGATGCCGTCCCACCCAGCCAAGGCCCCTGGGAGCTGGCAAGGTACCAACCTCCCTGCCAGCCTCTTCACCCTTGCTGCTGCATTGGAAAGAGGAGAGAAAATTCCTTGTCCCCACCCAGCAGCAACTCTGCACAGTCAACTACCTCGGCCACAGAAAGCAGCCAATTAATTATTTTCTTCTCCCATTAACATGTAATTAGTGCATGGCAGCTGCTGTCCCAGGGGAAGGGAGCGAGGGGCTGCAAAATGTCACTGTTTAAACGGATGGCGTTGATCGGGTGGGGGGGGTTGGTTTGTGTGGCTTTAAAATGAAAGTCCAGAGAATGAAACGATCCGCAAGAAAGTCCACGTCATTAGCAACTCTTTTGCTTGGTGGAAGGAAATCTCCACTGTTTTCGGTGTTTTGACCAGTCTTGGGATTGCATGACATGGAAACACTCGGCGCTGAGCAACCTGTGCTCGAGTCAGGTGGAACTGGGGTGTTTTGCCAGCCACGCAGGTTTGGGCACCCTCAAAATGAGCTGGCCTGCAGTAGGAGATGTCTCGGTATCTCCCACATTGGGCACCTCTGCCACGTCCAGATGCCCACAGTTCAGACCAAGGCAGGGGCTGCCCCGTCCATACAGCAATGCCCCCAGTGTGCACAGGGATGGATTGTCCCCCAAACAATCATCCGTTAAAAGGGGCTGGTGGGAAACTGGCGGAGAGGAAGACAAGGAGGCGAGAGGAATGAGAAGAGGAAAGTGAGGAGGGAGAGAAAATGAGTGGCACGGGCAGGCTGGTGGAGGCTGTGCTTTTCCTGGCTTCGGGTCTCTGACAATCCTTAATCCAGTAATAAACAAGAGGGACCGGAGCTCAGGGGCTGCGTTAACAGCTTCAGTTATAATTTAACTTGTTCCCTTGAATGCGCTTTGCTTTGCTACCTGATTAGGGCTTCGGCTGCTGGATTATTGGATTGTTATTAAGCAATTGCTCTTTGACCGCCGGGAGGTCGGTCCGACTCCAGCTCTGGCCAGATCTGCAGGCCCGGGACTTCCCCAGGCTTCTCGGGAGCCGGCAGCAGCCGTCGGCTCCGGCGCATCTCGCACAATACCACCCTCGTGCTTGGCATACTGTCAGCCAGGGGCTTAGGCCGGAGCATGAGGAAATGCTCCTAATCCCATTTAAAGGGCAGCCACCCAAGCCCCCTTCCCGCGGGTGCAGCTCCCAGCACCCCTCCCGCCACACTCGGCAGCCAGGAATGAGGGGCAAGTGCGGGGGTGTCCCGGGCTTCGACCCTCAGGACTTTGCTCCTGATTTCCAGTTGTTCCAGCTTCTGTTTGCACCTAAAATACAACCCATGGGAGGCAGGCAGGGACGGAGAGGGACGGCCCAGCGCGCCGGAGATGGGTCTCTCCGGACACGCACGTTCCTCCCTCCCCTCGTCCCCGGGCGCAGCACAGAGCCGCGTCAAAAGACCCGGCAAAGTTCCCAAGTCGCCTCTGGGCATCGTTCCAGTTGCTGTTTGTAGTCTGCGCCGCGGCAGCGGCTGAGCGCGCTCCTGTCCTCCCTCCGAGTCTTCTCGCGGCTGCCGGGGGGGGGTGACATTTTTCAAGGTCGCTGCTTTGCAATCTTGTGTTTGTGTGGCTGCATTTCGAGGGCCCCAGATCACTGATTTGTGACAGCGCGTGCGGTGACTCTATTACACATCGTGATAGAGAGACGGGTTGGTTTTGCTCAGCTCCATGGCTTTTTCTCAAGGCACTGGACTGAGATGCCGAAGCCCAGCCGGCTCCCCCTGGCCGCCCCCGTCCCAACAAGCCCGCTTCACGAAGACCCTCCTTCACCTCCACCAGGAAGCCGGGGGCTCACCCACCTGGCTTTTCATCTTGCATTGCTCACCCCAGTCCTTGGTTTTAGCTGCTGCGTGCCATCAGCTGCCAGCCTCAGTTTCCCCCCTTTCCTCCGGCAGTTCGGCTTGGCAGCTTCCAGTCACGGTCGGCCCCAAGATGGGGTTTTTCCTGCATGGATGGAGAGCTGCCTCTCTGTTTTACTCGCGTGCTCAAGCATTTGCCAGTGGTTGGCCACCATGCTCCAACCCTCTGGATTTCCAGTCTCTACAAGCCGTATTTCTTCCCTTTCACTCGCACGAATATCTCCATTGCTCGAAGCAGCAGGTGCAGCCTGTCTCGTGTGGCCCTTGCTCCAGCTGTGGAGTTGCCTTTCTGTCTGCAGCAAGGGAGGTTGAAGTTGGATATTAGGAAAAGCTGTCTCACGCGGAGGGCGGTGAAGCACTGGAACGGGTCACCCAGAGAGGTGGTGGCGTCTCCATCCTTGGAGGTGTTTAAGGCCCGGCTAGACAAAGCCTCGGCCGGGATGATGTAGTTGGGGCTGGTCCTGCTTGGAGCAGGGGGTTGCACTAGATGCGACCTCCTGAGCTCCCTTCAACCCTCATTTTCTATAATTCACTGATGCAGCTTGCAGGACCTGACCCCAGCCCTTGTAATGCTCGGTGCGCCCCAGTGCCCAGGCCCACCTGTGTAAGGCATCGTCTCCACTTCCATGATTAAAAATCCTAGGAGCCATGTCGCTTCTTAGCTCCGGCGGCTGCCGAAGGCAAATGACAGAGCGGCCATCGTTCCCGCTATTGAAATCCCAAGACTTGAAGGCAGTCGTGAGATTTCTGCGTGCCGGCTTTTGGCAGCCTGTTGATCGCCAGCGTAATCGCTCCCCCCATGCTGCTTGCACGTTCCTGCTCCCTTTTGTGTGTATTTCTCCGAATATAATGAATCGAGCGAAAGAAAGAGCAATAACAAGATAACAAAGGAAATCAGCAGAAAGTGGCAGCTGAATGCAGCTCCATTGGAAATGAAAGCCGGGAGTGGGGGAGGCAGGAGGGAAGAAAGTATCAAAGTTTTTAGGCAGCTTTTAAGTGGTTGCCTGTTCTCTCCTCCTTTTAACAGTTAATGTGGCTTTCCAGCTTGGATGGGAGCCAGGAGGCTGGTTCTCTGGATGCCTTGAATGCAGCAAAATTGGTTGGGAAAGAAAGTGTATTTTGAAGTTCCCAGGGAGGGAAGTAGCAGGAGCTAGAGCGTGCTGCAGCTGGCTGGCCCCGCAAACACGGGCTGCTCAAGAGGTAGATTGAAGTCAGGCAGCGCCGCACCTTGGAGACTAACTTGTTCTCGGGTCCTCTCATGCCCTTTTATCATCACGAGCAGCAGGAAACAGGCTGGAAGGGGCTTGAGCCGGCACGGGAGGCCAGGACGAGACCGTCAGCAGGGGGTGGAGGGGACAGAGGAGACGGGCGCGAGGGCAGACCCCAGGTCTGATGCTGCCTGTCAGATGAGTGATGCTTTGACTCCGCCGCGCTCAGCCCCAGGGAGCTTGCACGTGGCGCCGTGGTCGTGCAGTCGTCCCTGCAGCGGCCCTTACGGCCCCATGCCAGGGCCAGGGGACGATGCAGGAACCTCGGCTTCCCTCGCCACGCCGGGCCCGCGGGGCCGTGGTTTGGAACCACGACCTCCTCGAAAGCGACGGCCCAGACAGCCTTAGAAAAGCACCCGGCGTGCAGTTAAAGAGTTTGCAAATTCCTGCGGTTTTTGGGGGGTGAGGCATGGTCCAGCTCAGGGTGGCAGGGGTAGAGGAGGGTCCCTGCAGACGCCCCTCGTGGCGCAACGCAGCGGGGAGCTGCGCGGGGCCCAGTGGCCTGTAGCTTGGCTCTGACGTGGGTCTCTTCTCCTCTTCCTTTGCAGACGATTCCCTGTACGAGTCCCCGGAGCCCATCTTCACAAGCAATAACTCCTGCTGCAGCCTCAGGGTCCCGCACGCCATCCTGGTGGTGGTGCCGGTGTTCTGGACTATCCTCACCTCCTAGCCCCACGCGGAGCCACACCGAGGGAGGGGAGCAGCCTCGCAGCACAGCCGGGAAAGGAGGAGACGGACATGGGGGAAGAGGCGACGTGCTGGGGCCGGGGCTGGGGGGCAAGGTCCCTCTCAGTCCAGCCTTTGGCTTTTGCTTTCCAAGTTTTTCTTTGACAGTGACCTTGGACCAGGGGCTCCAGCTGCTCGGATGCTGGGGGAAGAGGGGACCCCTGCCCCTGACCGGGACTGATTTGGGGAGAAGACTGCCAAGATCCCCCCTGCCCTGGCGCCCCTCTTTGGGCGCCACTAACCTTGGGCGGGACTGCGGCAGGGCGGACGCAGTGCTGGCTCTGGACGGACCCGCGGCTTGGCCTCCCCCACAGGCATTCGCTTTTTAAATTTCTAGACCAAATATTCAAGTCCTTTTGGGTTTTTTATGTCATTCCCGGGGCCTGGGGGCTTCAGCCCTGTTCCCCGCGCAACCGGAGAGCCCTCCCCGCGCCGCAGCCACGCTCCTTTCTCTGGCGCCGCAGGAAGGCCGGAGGATTCCCCCTCTCTCGGTTCCCCCCGGCACTCGGATGGACCCGATCCCTGGCCCGGGGCAGCCTTTGGGAAGCGGACACGGCTCTGGGACAGAGTGGTGCCCGCAGCCAACGGAGCCCTTCCCAGGCCAGCCTGGGCTTTTGCCGCGGTCCTTCTGCAGCCAGATTCGCTCTCGCCCGGACGGAGCGGTGCCAGGACCCCGGGGCTCCCTGCGGAGGGGTCTGGACAGAGGGGCCCGGTGGAAACAGGCAATCCAGGACCTTCGGAGCCAGCCAGGCAGGGCCGGGACCTGGCGGGATGACTCTGGCTCATGCACGGACGTGTGTAATTTGTTGTTCCCGTCGGGGTTTGCAAGGGGAGGGCTGAGCGGCCACATGCAGCCAGCGAAGTGCAGCCGGCCTGGCAGTGGGCAGACGTCTTCAGAGCAGCAATGGGTCATGCCTACAAAGGGTTCACGGGCCACCTGAGGGAGGGGAAGGGGCGGGTGAAGCCAGGGGTTTCGGCAGGAGTGGGCTCCCAAATCCACTTGGGGGAAGGGGCAGCCAGAGGTGGGCAGCGGAGCTGGCTTGTTGGAAAGCGTCTGAAGCAAGAGGGCAGGGGCAGGTCTGGAAGTGAGAAGGGCTCTGGGGATGGTGAGAGCAATCAAGGGGGCCAAGGATGCTGAGGGGTCTTCGAGGGGAGCCCTGATGCCAGGCTCCTCCGTGCCCTTCATTGAGCTGTGCCAGGGTGGGGTCTCCTTGGAGAGTCCTGCTGCTGGGCGGGCAATGGGTGCAGCTCGGCTAAGTCCCTTCACCTTGCCACCCCAGGGATCTGGCCGCAGGCCTTTCCCTCACGCCATCCCCATTCGCAAGACCCCTTCGCTTCACGCCAGGGCTGCTGCTTCCCCCTCCGAGGGACTAGGAGAGGGGTCAGCATCCGACCAGCGCCCGGGTGGTCCACAGCGCCATTGGACCCACAAGCAAGCTGCTCGTCGGGCTGCGGCGTGGGCCTCTGGAGCCATCCATCCTCTTCCCCTTCCCCCTCGCCAGCGGCTTTCAATCCTGCCCTGCACCGCTGCGCTGCCCCGGGGAAAAGCAGCTGGCTCAGCTTTTTTTCCTCCCCATTTCTTTGCTGTTAGACTGGCCCCAAGCTACCCACACGTGCCCTGCTCCCTCCTCTCTGCCCCTTCTGCTGGGACAAGCTGCATTTCAGGGCTTGGAGTGAAAGAAGGAGGGGACAAGCCACGGCGACGAGGGAGAGGGGCAAGGGGCTATCAGGATCTCGGCACGTCCCGTGGGAGAGGATCCCAGGAGCAAGAGGTGGGGAAGGGAGGTCGAAGCCTGGCGTGTCTCAGGCCGGGGGGAAGAGGGTATGATCCAGGGACGCCCCGAGTGCCCGGCGTGTCCAGCTGCACGAGTCTCGTCCCACCAGCGCCGGGGAAGCGGAAACCCGTGAAAGGCCGGCGATGCTAACCGAGCCCCCTGCCCCTTTCGGCCTTGTACATACAGCCGGCGGGCGTTGGACTGTGAGCCTTTGTCATATGTTTTTTTTTAATGTATTGTTGAGAATGGATTTTCTGGAAAGGGTTGATTTCGCTTTTGATTTTTTAGACTAGGAAGCTCGGATCCGCGCAATAAGTTCATCTCGGCCCCTCTCATCCCCTTTCCCACCCCCGCCGCGCCCTACGTCCCAGACCGGGGCATGGGACCCCCCCATTTTGACAGATGTCATCTTTCTCCCCTTCCCCCACCTCCATGGGAAGCCAGATTTTGCCACCCTTGTTCGCAGCCAGTTCATGGTGAAGGGGCCCTGGCCCCGACTCTGGCTCTGGATGTGATTTTGGGCAAGGGGCTTGGGCAGTGAGCTGCTTCCGCACGCGCCTGGCACGAAGCCCCCGGGTCACCCCGGAGGTCAGGGGAGCCAGTCGTGCAAGGCGTCTGCTGAAGCCTCTGCCGAGTCCGCCAGGGCTTCCCAAATGCCCTCGAGTCACGGTTGCACCTTTAAAAGCCCCAGCTTGCACCTCTGGGGCCATAATACTGCCTGCATCCATCCTGACCCTCGGGCCCTGCTCCTCGGCGGACGGATGCTCGAGGCCACGTAGATCCAGCTGTCAGGCCTAGGCCACCCGCGGGTGCCGCCTGTCCTGGGCGCACGCACCCTGGGGACGGTGGCAAAACCTGGCTTCCAGTCTGTGTTTTATATATATATATTATATATATATAAATATATATATTGTGTACAGCGATTGTGAGAGAATTAAAAGACAAAAGCAACCGAGGAAGCAATGTTCAAACGAAGCTATAATTAAACACAACAGGGTTTGGGATTGGGTCTTTGGGTTTGGGGGGTTGTTTTTTTTTTTAATCCTTTTATTTGGTCGGGTTGACCTTCGGGGGTCAGCCCCCCGCCCCGCCCCGGGAACTGTCTCTGCTTGTTGGTCTCGACTCCGCCTAGCTTGGTCTGTAGACATGCAGCTTTCGTTCTCCGCGTCGTGCCGATGGTGCCCGGCCCCTGCCCCATTTGGATTCTGTATTTTTTTATAATAAAATAAAAATCAATGTCGTGCGAGTCCGGTGTTTTGGAGAGCTCCTGCCTTCGCCTCTGCCCAGCATGCGCCCCGGTGGGGCTGATTCGCCTGCTTTGATGATACCACGAGGAGTGTTTCTTCCCCGCTTGGGACTCACTGGCCCCGAGACCTCAGCGGGGTTTGCTCGTGGGTACCAGCAATGGCCTTTTCCCCCTGTAGGGCAGCAGTTCTCCACTTTTTAGCAATCAAGGCATCCCCCGTTAGATGCAGGCTCTTTGCTTGGAGTTGTTTTGGGGCCACAAATAAAATAAGAGCGATTCTGGTGGAAGAGCTCAGACTGCAGCAGGGTCAAGTGCTTTTAACATCTGGATTCCTATTTGACGTCCCTGGGTTTATCCGGTCCATCCTGTCGCCCACGTCACAGCACCCTGCGGCCCCCAGAAGGGTCTCAAGGCCCCTGCCCGGGGTGATGCAGCGAGCATCACTGATCCACGGAGCAAAAAGCTGCTCCAGGGACAGGGCTTCCTGGCTGCTAAAATGGCATCTCCGCCGGGTCCTGGGATCATGCTCCCACCTAGGCTGGCACAGCTCCAGGCACACGGGGCCGTGGCGTCGCACAGAGCACCGACAGCAATCACGAGCCCCTGTTTCAGAGCCAGCATCTCCAGTTCCTGGTGGGGAGGTTTCCTTCTGCCCCATCCCTCTTGGGAGCCCGGCTGCATGGCGGGGCCCGTGGACAGGGAGCCCAGGCCCCCGCGGGCGTAGGATGCACGCCGTCCCCTCCTCCCACCGCTGCCTGTCACTTCCCCGCGTTTCCTAGTCGATGACGCTTCATTAACCTGCATTCCGCGCTGATTAGGCCTAATTAAATGATACACACTCGGCAGGCTTTTCACAAAGCGCTCGGCTCAGGGCAGAATGCGGCCCCTGCCTTCCCTTGCTGCCTGCCGCCGCACCCCATCGGGGTCCCGAGATGCTCCGCTGGGGGGTGGCGAAGGGGGTCGGCGCTGCAGCTGGTGTAAATCACCCCAGGTGGGGTCAATCAGCAGTATCCCTGCAGAAGTCATTGCTGTCATTGGCATTATCCGGCTCCATCAGGCCCTGAAAGCCTCCAAGAAATGCACCGCGGTGCTTGTTACGTGGTGAAATGTTTCGTGCCCCGCCAGCCCCTGCACCCGGCAGCTTGGGGGCGAGAGCCCTCTGATTTTCCCAGTGATGCGGCTCAGATCCTCAGGGGCTGGAGAGGAGGTTGTTCTCCCGAAGGGGATGGCATGCCTCTGCCCGGGCACCTGCCCCCAGGACCACATCTGAAGGGCAACGGTGGACTGGGGGGGGGGGGTGTCTCGGTGTCCCCTCATTACCTGGAGTCACTGGGTGCGGGCTGGGCAAGCTCCATTCACACCAGCCATCATCACCCCATGCCAGGGGTCGGCGCGTCCACCCCGGGTGCAAAGCCATGGCCCACCCTGCTGCAGGGCAGCGCTCATAATTGTTGCCTGGACTTCATTATTATCGGACTGGAGGATTCGTTGCCATCGATTTAAGGCTTGGCCGCGTTGCTGGAATAGGATTATTGACCGGGTTTCATGATGGAGGCGGTGCGGCCTGGCGGGCAGTGCACTGCCTGGGAGTCGGGAGCTCCGGCTGTCCTGGCTGCTGGGTGACCGGCCCCAGCGGGGTCCAAAGGGGCTCATTACAGTTCCCCACGGCCTTATGGAGCGGGGTCGCCCGCTTGCCCTCGCATCCCTCGGGATGGTCCGCGGGGAGTTGGCACAGTCAGGTCCTGGTGACCTCCTTGCAGCCGTGAGCCCTCGGAGCTGAGCCGGGCACAGGGCACCAGCAGCCCCTTCGGCAGTGACCCCGTCACCCGCTGGCGTCAAGGGTGCAGAGCGCACGGGTGCGGGGTGCAGCAGATGGGGGAAATGCAGAGAAGGCCCTTGAGAGATGAGGCAAAGGGGGAGAAACTGAGGCACCAACTCACCCCACTGCTCCACAGCCCCTTGCACACGTGCGAATCTTTGCGCAAGGGCCAGGCCCTCGTGGGTTGACGCTGGCTGCAGACATGTGCACGTGCCAGGGGCTGGGAGATGACACGAACCCAGTGGAGGGAGGGAAAAACCCGGCTCATGTTGCTCTGTTATTTAACAAAACCCTGCTTTCCCCCCATTTCTGTCTGGGGGAATTTAAGAGCCGCAGAGGAAGCCTGCCAGGGCGCAGCGCGGCACGGGGGGAGCAGTCGCCAGCTGTGACAGGCTTCGTGCCGGGACCCACGTCGCAGCCAATTCCCTCCAGCTGAAGGGGGCAGGGGAAGGGGCTCCACTTTAAAGCGCTACATCATTTTTTTTCTGCGCGGGCCCTATTCA